GTGGCTGCAGATGCCCCAAGTTTTGCTGTCACGAGGACTTGGTGTGTCACTGCCTGTTCTCAGGGGACCCCGGGAACTCAAACCCCCACCTGGCCGGAGCATGAACCAGTGTGATGGAAACTGGTGGTACAGATTGGGTGTGGGGGGCAGGGAAACCGTAGACCCTGTGTCCACTTCCAGCCCAGCCGCGGGCTCCCTGGGCCCCCGGGGCAGCCACGTGCTGGCCGACAGCTGACAGATGAGGCTGAGTCAGTGTGGGCTGGTGGGGGCACAGCTGGCGTTTCAGTAAGCAGAATATGGAGGGGCTTGGGGGGACAGGGATGGACCCTAAGACTTCGGACATGCCGAGCATCACTCTCACTGAGCCACATCTGGCCCCAGATGTGCGGTATTAGGATCGTTCTGCTTGGCACGGGGGTATTTCTGTGGGGGAAGCACCGGAGGATGGGAATGCGTCCTGCAGCTCCTGGGGCTCGGGTGGGGTCGCCAGGTCCTGCTGGGACACTGGCAGTGCCCGGTGGGCCGGGCGGGCCCAGGAGTGACGCCTTTCTAGCACTGCGCTCAGAAAGCCAGGAGGTGTAAGATGCTGTGTGGGTCTCTGGTTCTGACTTAAACCTCCCTGGTGCATCCGAGTTAAGCACCTCACGTTCCTCACGTTCGGGGCAGGGAAGGCCTTGGAACACAGTCCCTCAGGGCAGCTTGTGGACACACAGCTACCTGGACGGCCCTGACTGGGTGGCCTCTACATGACAGGGGACATCACTGTCTCGCCTGGGGACCTGGCCTGACAGTCGCGGGGTGTCAGTCATACAGGCTGGAGCAGGAAACTCTTCCTCAAGTGACACAGCCTTAGCCCGAATGAGCTGTCCCACAAACACTGACCATGGCTCTCAATCCCCCCGTTTCTATTTTGTTGACATTCAGGTGAGGTTTAAAAAGGAGACACGGGGCTGGGGAGATTGGATGGTGTTCAGGTGCCTGCCTGCAACCCCACCGACCCTGGTTTGAATCCTCTGCACCCCAAGGAGCACTGCTCCTGAGCAAAGAGTCAGAATATCCTTGATTTACAGGGGATGTCGCCCCAAACCCAACACACACACACACACACACACACACACACACACACACATAAAAAAGAAAACGCATACACGGAAATCTGCTTGAACCTGAAATAATCGGTTGATATTTGAATTGCTTTCAGTGGGACATTTGCTTGAAACCATAGATAGCTCCATTTGGATTCTCAAGAGTACAAAACCCTTCCCCCCACCCTCCCGCCAAAAAAAAAAAAAAAAACAAAGAAACAAAACAGAAACCCCAAGCCCACAACTCAGCTTTGAATAAATTTTGAAGAAATGAGACTCTAAATATTTACATATGGGTCAAGAAATAAATCACAAAACTATTTACAAAAATACACAAGCTTATATGCAATAACAATTTACACCAGTTCACAAAAAATATTAAAACATTAAAAAAAACACTATATAAATTAAAAGTTAAGAACTCAAAAAAAAGTTAGGATCTAAGACATCCTGGGGTGTCTCTCTCATGCAGTTTATGGTTTGGGAAAAAAAAATCAGGTTTTGCTACCTTAGAATCTAAGCTGTAAAACAACCGTTTGGATTCTTGACGTCAACAGTACTATTCAGGAAAGGAAAGGAAAAGAAAGACCCTCTGTGCACACACATTGTCGCGTAATACAAACAGGCCATTCCCGACATCTCCTCATACATGGCACCGCGCAGCACATGCCTCTAACCCACCTGGAAGCCACTTCCTGACATACCTTCGCCTTCACGACCGTTTCCTTACCACAGCTCAGACAAGACCTTGCAACATGCTGAACAGGGAACGACAGGGCTGGAAACAGAGAAAGGGGAATTTTTTTTCCAGACTTTTTATTTTTTTTAAACGAAAGGGAAATTTTCCAGTTGAGTCTGTCAGTATTGCTCTTCAGAAGTGCACCCTTGCGTCTCTCCTGACACACACAGGAACGGTCTTCTTCTCTACAGAATTAGTCCTAGAACTTTTAACCTGACCCCGTTAAAAAAAAAATTGCTTAGCCATTATAAAAATATGCAGGCCCTCCCCTGGGGGGCGGGGGGGCGTTCCCAGGGCTGGAAGTGGAATACAGTCGGTAATAAGGCTCAGATAAAATCGATTAATAAGGAAATGGCAGCTCTGGGGCTGTCAGCAGACTCTGGCCAGGCACCCAGGGAATTCGGTATTTCAATCACACCAAATGGTGGCATTGGAATTTTGCCAAAAAAAAAAAAAAAGATAAACACTGGAAAAAATGGTCGGAAGGTAAAAGTGAAATGGCAGGTGAGCTCTAAGGCCGAAGGCGGCGCCAGCTCCTAGATCGGGAGGCTCTGCCGCCTGTGAAGCCTCCCCCGGGGACCTCAGTTGGGCCGCTGTGGCCCCAGGGACCTACCACCTCATGGCCACCCAAGGGGAGCAGAGAGGAGACACAGTCCCGCAGAGCACAGCACGGAGCTAAGGCTGCCGTGTCCTCGGGAATGAAGCAGTGTTGGCTTTGCATTTCCGACATCATCCCAAATTCGAACCTGATCATTTGAACCCCGGAGGACATTCGGAAAGGGAGGAGAGCCTTTGTCCTCTAGACCACGGGCATAACGTTATAAAGCTGACGTGTTTTGGGGTGCGGATGAGGGTGTGAAGACACGCCCAAGGGCCTTGAAAGCGGCTGCTTAGGCCACACACGCCGTCACGAAAGCGGCCGCCGGCTCTCCCTCGCACGGCCCCTCCGCGGCTGGCGAGCACCACAAAGCTTGGGTGATGGTCCGGGCAGTGCTGGCCTGCCTGGCTAAGAGGCACCTCCACTAAGGAGAGCAGTGGCGGGCGGGAGCCACAGGGACAGCTGCTGGCCACAGTGTCCGAGTTCAACAGGCGCTTAAGAGCCGGTGTCCTCCGGATACACTCGGAGCCCGGCTGGCACCGTGTTGGTGATGGACAGACCAATCTGTTTCAGGGTTGCTTTCTGCCGTGGTTTCTAGTCAGCCCTCGGGTTAGTTCATCGGGGGAACAGAGGATCACCTTATGGAGGGGGTTTCCACGTGGAAATGACTGTGGATCTCGAAACTTTCTTTGTTCTAAACATAAACCCTTAAAACGCAATCACAGGATTTTTCTTTTAATAATAACGATAAAAAAAAAGGTTAACTGGCATGTTTATACAATTTCACAGCGGTAATAGCAGCATAAATTCTCCTCCTAAAAGGTTTCTCCCCTTTGCTCTCAATTAAAACTAATTCCAAGCCTCCAGAGGCGGGGCAGCAGCAGCCAGCACATGGAGTGGACACCCCTGGGGTCTCCCACCAACGGGGTGCTTAAAAACATGTGACTGGATAAAACGGGGGTGGTGGGGAATCGGCTCGGGGCGGAGGAAATGGCGAGACTGTCTCCGTGCTGCCGGGTGGGGGGGGGGGACTGCCTGGCCAGTCTGGTGTGGGCGTAGTGGGCTGAGTGGACAAGACGGAATGGAGTTGGGCCAGAAGCGTCCAACCCTGCTCTCACCAGGAATGCAGCTTTCAGGGCAAGACCCTGGGCGTCATCTGCAGAGGACACTGTCTGCAGTTTCCCAAACCACGAGTGAAATGCTGGTGTCAATGGCAAGCGGTCAGACTGCGATCACAGCAGGAGGGGGGCCCTGGGGCCACACACCGGACCACTCTGAAACCCAACCTGCTCCGGCTGGATGCCCCGTATCTGCTACAGGGCTTGGCGCCGGTGCAGGTGAACGGAAATGAGTGTGGCCGCTCACAGTCAGCATATTATAATTTGTGCATTTATCCAGTCAAACCTTGCCTGGGGGACGAGGGCAATTTTTTTTTTTTTTTTTTTTGCTTTTTGGGTCATACCCGGCTCTATACGCTCAGGGGTTACTCCCGGCTCACGCACTCAGGAATGACTCCTGGCGGTTCTCAGGAGACCATGTAGGATGCTGGGAATCAAACCTGGGCCGGCCGCATGCAAGGCAAACGCCCTGCCCTACCTGCTGTGCTATCGCTCCAGCCCCGGGGGCGGTTGTTTTTAATGAAGAGCAAACATTGTTTTAGAAGAACAAATGGGGTGAAGTGTTTTAGGGGGACTCCACTCTGCTAGATACGGGAGGAATAAAAACTAACAAAAGATAGGCAATCCGCTAGAAATACTGAGAGACTTTCCGGGGGCTGACAAGGCCCACTGGGGCCCCTCTAAGGTGTGTTGGACTCTTAGCGTTTCCCTTCTGTGATGGGAGCCTCGTTCACGAGATGGGGAGGAGTGTAAAAAAAAAAATCGGAATGGAAGAGCGCCTGGTTCCAGCTGGGCTTATACAGCTGGACACAGGGTGAGAACTGCTGACCGCCGAAAGCCCCCTTCCTTCATCTGTTAGCTCCAGTGTTGCCAGCGCCCCCGGGCCTTGTCTGCAGGGTGAAGGCGCGGCTCCCACCAGGTGGGAGATGCAGCTGGCAGGCCGCGTGTCCCCTGGGATGGGTAACAGGGATGACCAGGCAACGGGGCTTCAGGTGAAACGCAAACCGCTCAGGACCACACAGACTGCTCAGGATCACACAGACAGGCCTTGAAGGACAAGGACAAACTCAGCCTGGCTTCTTTCAGACAGGCGGACCCACGGACCAGCCCTGCATGGCCAGCACCTCGGCAGATTTCTCCCAGCCTGTATTCCGCACGCACCCAGCCTGCTGCCCCGTGTGTGTGTGTGTGTGTGTGTGTGTGTCTGGGTTGCCTGTGGATGGGAGAGAGGCGGGGAGGAGAGGGCACGGCGACTTTCTTAGTATATTATTATTATTATTATTATTTTAATATGGTCAGGGGGATGGTAGCTTGATTTTTTTTTTGTTGTCGTTGAAATTTTTCATCTTTTTTTTTTTGGTTATTGAAAAAAATAGAGAACAGTCCACTGTCCAGCAGAGGCTGCTTCGACTCTGTGGCTCCCGGGGCGGGGTGGGGCGGGGCGGGGCGGGGTGGGGGGGGGGAGTGGGGGGCTCATTCTGCGTGGACCTGCGCCTCGGGCCGCTGCAAGGCCAGCTCGGCGGGCAGGAAGGCCCCCTGGCCCAGCGCCGTGGCGTAGGTCCTGCTCTGCGGGTGGGGGAAGCCGGCGGCGGCGGCGCCCCCAAAGCCCACCCGCGGGTGCTGGTGCTGGGGCAGGGAGTGGTAGCCCTCCAGGTTGTCGTACTGGGAGACCACCGCCGCCGCGCTGCCGGCCCCGTGCCGCTTGCCGTGGGCCGCGTAGTGGTAGGGCCCCGCGGGGTCCCTGTCCCTGTCCCCGGCGGCCGGGCCGGGGTGCAGTTTCAGGCTGTGGCTCCGCTCGGGCTTCGGGGGCGGCCCGGCGGCCAGGGCCAGGGGCTCCTCCTCCGGGTAGCAGCAGTCCCGGGCGTGCTTGTCGGGGGCCGGCCGGGGGGCGGCGCGCGCCCGCTCGGGCTCCCCCCGGAAGGGTCTGCCCTCCTTGGGGTGCAGCCGCAACGTCAAAGCCTCGTGGCCCAAGGTCGACGACGACGACGGCGGCGGCGGCGGCGGGACGTACTTGCCCCCCGCGCCGGGGTGGCCGCCGGGCTCGAAGTCCAGGGGCTGCGCGCAGGGGGGGCCCGTTCTTGGGCTCGCACGGCGGCCTATGGCTTGCATCCTGGGGCGCCCGGGGCTCGGCCGGGCCGCAGCCCCCCTCGGCCGGCTTGCGGCCCCGCAGGCTGCTCTGCTTCTGCGGCAGCGCCGGCTTCTCGGCCGGCCCGTTGCCGTAGCCGGGGTGCGGGTGCGGGTGCGGGTGCGCGTGCGGGTGCGGGTGCGCGTGCGGGTGCGCGCGCTCCAGCTCGGGCTCGGGATGCTTGCGGTAGAAGCGCTCCTCGCCTTGGGGGCTCACGGCCTTGGCGGCGGCGGACCGGCCCTCCTTGGCCTCGGCCACCGACAGGAGTCCAGTCTTCCCGGGATCGGACTTGCTGCGCAGGTGGACCACGTAGACGCCGCCGCCCAGGTCGTCGTGGCCGGGGCCGGCGGGCGCCAGGTTGTCGTACTGCGACACGACGGGCCCCTTGGCCTTCTGCCGCGCGCGGCTCTCCCTGCGCAGGGACTGCAGCCGGTACCTGTCCACGTCCTCCAGGTCCCACGAGGCGTAGGCGGCCGCGGCCTTGGCCTCGGCGGGGTCGGCGGCGAAGTAGCCGGCGGCCGCGGCCCGGGCGCGCGCGGGCAGCCCCGCGTAGCCGCCGCCCGCGCCCCCGTACAGGCTCCTGCCCGGCGGCCGCGCGGGGTGGTGGAGCGCCCAGTCCCGCGCGGCGGCGCTGGGCAGGCGGTGCAGGGGCCGCAGCTGCAGGGCGCCGTAGGCGGCGTCCAGCTCGCAGAGGGCCGCGTCGGGGCCCAGGTAGGGCGCGGGCGCGCCGGCGTAGGGGCTGTAGCGGTAGTGGACGCGGCCGTTCTCGAAGTACGGCTGCAGCTGCGTGACGTGGTAGTCGGAGCGGGCCGCCGCGGCGGGCTGGCATGGCTTGTACTGGTACAGGGGGCGCGGGCAGTAGGCGGGCTCGTCGTCGGGGGGCACCTCCGTGCGCGAGACGGGCACGGAGCGGATCGCGGCGGCGGGCGGCGGCGGCGGCGGCGCGGCGTGCAGCGACTGCACCCTCCGGATGGTGGGGTAGGGGGGCGCGTCCTCGGGGTAGCAGGGGCCGCGCAGGGAGGCGCCCAGCGAGGGGCCGTAGTCCACGCGGCCGCCCCCGCCGCAGGGTTTCGCGTGCAGCCCGGCCGCGCTGCTCCGGCCGGGGCCCGCGTAGGTGCCGTAGTGGGGCCCCGCGACGGGGGCGACGGGGGCCGGCGGCTCGGACCTGGCCCCGTAGGCGGGGTGCGGGTCCAGCAGCTTGCCGGGGTGCGGGGGGACGCTCTGGGCGCGGAACTGGCAGCCGGGCGCCAGGGCGAAGTGCGCGCAGCCCTCGGGGCCCAGGGGCTCGGCGGGGAAGTCGGGGCGGCCGAGGGCGGCGAAGGGCGCCTTGAGGGGCGCGGGCCTGGGCTGCGGCAGCGGGAGGGGCAGCGGGAGGCCGTCGTCCAGCGGGGCCGGGGCCAGGCAGGCGGCGGCCAAGGGGCGGTAGGCGGAGGCGGCGCCGCCGGGCAGGTCCAGGCCGGCCACGACGGCGCCCGCGTGCAGGGCCGCGGCGATCTTGCTCTCCAGCGTCCGGGTGGGCGGCACGGGCGCCGAGAAGCCGCAGGGCGAGTACACGGGCACCGACTCGGCCCGCAGCTGCAGCGCGGGGGCCCTGGTGCTCTCCCGCACCTTCTCCGGGAGGCCCGGCTGGGCGGGCACGGGGCCCTGCGGCGCGGCGGCCACCTCGCCGGGCAGGGCCAGGCCCGGGTCGGCCGGGGCTCTGGGCTCCGGCGGCCTCTCGGGGGCGGGGGCCGGTCCTGCCACCTGGGGAGAGAGGGACAGAGCGTGACTCGCGTGCAGGTGCTCGCCTGGGTGCGGGGGGTTGGGTGTGGGGGCGGGGGGCGCTGCTTCTGGCTCCGCTGCACGCGGGCGATGTGTCCCTCCGTGGGCCAGGTGGTCACTGTCAGCACCAGGCACAGGAGCGCCCTGGGGCCGCCTAAGAGCCTGCTAAGGGACAAAAGCATTGGGCCGGGCGGGGAGGGCGTTGTGTTGGCCTTGCACGCGGCCCACCCAGGCCCGATTCCTCAGTGCAGAGCCAGGAGCCGGCCCTGAGCACTGTTGGGTGCAGCCCCAGAACAAGCAAGACAGAACAAAAGAAAACAAAAGGCCTCTCTTGTGACGTCACCGGCAGCCACGGATGGAGGGAGGCTCCTCCGGCATGGGCAAGCTTTGCAAAGGGGTCAGGCTCTGTCCCTCTCTCCCCAGGCTCCAGGAGTGACCCTGTCCCCGAGAGGCTGCCGGCGAGTGACCTTGGCGAGTGACGTCACTCGCGGCTCCTAATTAATGCTGGGAAACGGGGCCAGGGGAAGCACCAAGAGCCCATGAGAGCAGGTGAAATACGGCCTCTGTGCGTCACTGCGTGGCCACTTCTCTAGTCCACATCACGCCAGAGGCCAGACCCGCCCCTCCCCCGTCCCATGACTAGCAGCCCCTGGAGAGGCAGTGCTGGAAACGGCTCCCTGAGAAGGTCCCGCCAGTGCCTGGCCACTCGCCCCTGCGACCCGTCCCAGAAGGGGAGGGTGTCAGCTCCCTAGCCTCAGTGCTCTGCAGACAACACTCGCGCGAGCTGGCGGTGGGTGCTGGCCTCCCTTGACGAGGCGGCAGGACCTGAGGCGTTTTGCAGAGACCCGGGAGTCAGGCATGGGCAGGGGTGGGGAACAGCGGACAGGGATGCTGCGACGACCCGCCCCAAGCCGCAGGAGCGGAGCTGGGGGTCGCTGCCTGCAGCCCGGGCCCCAGCACCCGGTCCATGCTGGGCTTTGGGCCTCGGGGCCTCTGGGCCAGAACCCTCTGTCTGGGAGGAAGGTGAGTGAGGCGGTGGATTCCGCAAAACTGCAGCCCTAAGTCACGCTCTTCCCTCTGAGATGAGCAGAGAGGGCAAGGCAGAACCCAACCCCCAGGGGAAGCGGGGTCCCTGCTAACTCCCGCCGTGGGGGTGAAAGGTCACAGGTCGCCTCTCCCTGGGGGGGGCCTGCATCCCGCCCCGCTGCAGGGGTCCCACCGCTGGAAACGGCCCCTCTGCTTCCCCTCCCCGCGCCCCTCCCCTGCTTACCTTGTGGGGGGCGGCCAGCCCCACGCTGCCGCCTGCTGGCCCCTGCCCCACCCGCGGGTGCTGGGAAGGAGGCGGGGGCAGGGGGCGGTTAGTCCTGTGCGAACGCGGGAGGGTGGCCGCAGAGGTGACCTCTGCGGCCATCGGGGGCTCCACGGCGTCCCAGGTGGCCGCTTCCACGGCTGCCAGGTAACCCAGGGTGGCGGTGGCCGCCGTGCCAGGGTGCTCGTCGGGGGACCCGGAGGGCAGGTGGAGTCTGTCCCGCGGGAAACCCGAAGGTGCCAGAGCTTTGCCCAGCAGTTCCGGAGGGTGGTGGGCCGCGGTCTCCCCGCCGGGGCCCAGGACGGCGGCGGGGGGCTGGTCGGCGTTGTAGAAGTGCAGCTGGGACGGGGCCGGGTCCAGGAAGGAGACGCTGTGCTGCCTCTTCTCGGGCTGCTCCTCGGGGAAGCTCAGGAGATCCTCACAGCGCGACTCCGGCGAGGCCACGGGGGCGACCCGGGGCTTGTCTGGCTCCTCGGAGGCGGCGGCGCGAGGGGGCTGACCTCCCGGAGGGTCGGCCTGCTGCTGGAGGGGCTCCCCAGACTCCTGGGCTTGGCAGTGGGCGTCGTGGTCCCCCGCGGGGGGCGCTGCGTCCGGCCCGGGCGGGTCACCGAGCCCGGCCCCACCGTCGTGGAGGCGCGGCTGCTCCCCCGGCCACTCCGGCTGGAAATAGGCTTTATCGAGCGCCCCGCTAGGGTAGCAGCCGGCCGCTCGGTCCTCGGTGCTCGCCGCCGCCACGGCCCCGCAGTCTGGGGGGGCGGCTGGGGCAGCCCCGGGTCTCCTCAGGGTCTGAGTGGAAGCTTGCTGCGCCGACTCGGCTAACGCTAACGCCAACAGGCGCGCTGCGTTTTTCGGAGGCGGCGGCGGCGGGATAATGGAGGCTGAACTGACGGGAACGGGATCCTGAGGGGGGTCATGGGCAACTGCTCCTGGTGGGAAATCGGGGGAAAAAGAGGAGAGTGAAAAGGCAGCTTGTGTTATTCTACTGGGAAAGCCAAAAAAATTAAAAAAAAAATAAAACAAAAAGTAAAAAAAAGAAAAAGCACTCCCCATTCGATCACTTAAAAAAACCAAAACCACAACAAAACAGGTGCCATCCATTTTTCAAAAGGACAATCCACGATCTTCCATCCCGCATGCAAAGCCGTAGAAGACACGTCTGGTGCAGAAGGGAAAGTCAGACCAAGTGCTCAGAGGCTGCAATCTCCTCCCGGGCGGCCAGAGAGACGGGGAGGAAGCGCGTCCCACATCGGGCTCGGACAAGATTGCTCAGAAAACAAGCTTCAGGGGGCTTGGACAGCGTTACTAAGAGCAGGTTTTACGTTTGACGGTGGAGGCTGGCTGGTGAGCTTGTAAGGCTACAATACAGATATTTGTATTAGGAGAGAAAAACGGTATCAAGAGCTACGAAGTTGTGCAGAAATTCTCCACGAGTTCTGAACTGTCCGAAAAAAAAAGAAAAAAGATAAAGGGGTGCTATGAAGGTCTACAGCAAGGCCACTCACCCTTTTTTGGGGGGGGATTTCTGTTTCGATTGCTTTTAATTTAGGGCTTTGAGCCAGTAGCACCACCCGGAAAAACATTCTCTTGGATTCAAGGCTCGACCTGGAGCCGATCTCTCTCGCGCTCTCTCTCTCTCTGAAAGGCGGCACGCAGGGATTGAGGTCGCCCTCAGCTTAAAGAAAGAATGGAGGAAAGCAAACGGTACCTGTCTGAGTCTCTCCAGAAAGTCCAGCCTGACCCTGAGTGTTGGCCACTGGTGGCTCCTCCGTCCCCGGCAGCTCGGGTGCTGCAGGCTCGGCGACCGCCGCCACCACCCCCGGGTCCAGGGCCTGAGCTCCCCCGTCGCGGGCGGCCGGGGTCTCGCTCTCCTTGGCTCTCGCGGGGCCTGCCTGGGTGGAGGATCTGTTGGCGCCGTCGCTCTCGTCGTCGTCGACGCTTCTGTTCCAGGGCGTTACCGAGGCGCACTGGGCGGCGCTATTCAAGGGGGTCCCCAGGACTTCCGACACCCGCGGGGGCAGGGTGACTGAGATGGGCTCCGAGATGTTCAGCGACGGGGACTTGCTCAGCTTCCGGCCGATCTTGGGGGAGAGAGCATAGACCACCTTCTCCGTGAAGGTGGAGGGCTTCGAGGACCTCTCCTCGGGGGGACTCAGGTCCAGGGTGAAGAAGGGACTCAGCTTCTCCTGCAGCGGGGAGACGGGCTCGGAGCTGCCCGCGCTGCCCGGGGTCTGGCTCTGCCCGCCGCCCGCCTCCGCCTCCCTCCTCTCGCTGCCGGGCGCCTCCTCCTTGGAGTATCCAAGCGAGTCTAAGAAGGAGGCGCCGCTCTCCAGGCACTCGGTGTCGGCCTTGGGGGGGCTACACTGAAACGACATGGGGTCAAAATCCAGGCTGGCAACGCCGATGTCGGGGGGGCTCAGGTCCACGTCGTCCGCCGAGTGAGGAGATATGAGTGCGGGGATGTGGAGCAGCCCCACTTCCTCCTCGCTCTCGTGGTCCCGGGGCAGGTTGTCGTAGGAGTTACAGCGGTTGCCCAGCATGTCCCCATTGAAGGAGGCGCTCAGCGCGTCGCTGCTGGACCGGGGCCTTCTGGGCCGGAAGAGCTTGGAGTCACCTGGGGGAAAAGACAGTATCAGAGCACGAGCATCGGGAGAGACACGGCACTGGGGGGGCCTCGCCGAGGTGCCCTTCCAGGCACAAAAATGTTCCTCCTCCCAGGGTTTCTGATCATGGTCTCTCAGAGCACAGAGCTTAACTGGTGGTCCCATCCGCTGCACCGTCACATCCGGTGTAAGTGGTAACTAACCATCACGTCTGCTGTAAACAGTAACTAACCAACACATCCGGTGCAAGGGGTAACTAACCATCACGTCTGCTGTAAACAGTAACTAACCAACACATCCGGTGCAAGGGGTAACTAACCATCACATCCCGTGTAAGCGGTAACTAACCGTCACATCCTGTGTAAGCGGTAACTAACCGTCACATCCGGTGCAAGGGGTAACTAACCATCACGTCTGCTGTAAACAGTAACTAACCATCACATCCAGTGGAGGGGTAACTAACCATCACGTCTGCTGTAAACAGTAACTAACCAACACATCCGGTGCAAGGGGTAACTAACCATCACATCCCGTGTAAGCAGTAACTAACCGTCACATCCTGTGTAAGCGGTAACTAACCATCACATCCCGTGTAAGCGGTAACTAACCGTCACATCCTGTGTAAGCGGTAACTAACCGTCATATCTGGTGCAAGGGGTAACTAACCATCACGTCTGCTGTAAACAGTAACTAACCAACACATCCGGTGCAAGGGGTAACTAACCATCACGTCTGCTGTAAACAGTAACTAACCAACACATCCGGTGGAGGGGTAACTAACCATCACGTCTGCTGTAAACAGTAACTAACCATCACATCCAGTGGAGGGGTAACTAACCATCACGTCTGCTGTAAACAGTAACTAACCAACACATCCGGTGCAAGGGGTAACTAACCATCACATCCCGTGTAAGCGGTAACTAACCGTCACATCCTGTGTAAGCGGTAACTAACCGTCACATCCGGTGCAAGGGGTAACTAACCATCACGTCTGCTGTAAACAGTAACTAACCATCACATCCAGTGGAGGGGTAACTAACCATCACGTCTGCTGTAAACAGTAACTAACCAACACATCCGGTGCAAGGGGTAACTAACCATCACATCCCGTGTAAGCAGTAACTAACCGTCACATCCTGTGTAAGCGGTAACTAACCATCACATCCCGTGTAAGCGGTAACTAACCGTCACATCCTGTGTAAGCGGTAACTAACCGTCATATCTGGTGCAAGGGGTAACTAACCATCACGTCTGCTGTAAACAGTAACTAACCAACACATCCGGTGCAAGGGGTAACTAACCATCACGTCTGCTGTAAACAGTAACTAACCAACACATCCGGTGGAGGGGTAACTAACCATCACGTCTGCTGTAAACAGTAACTAACCAACACATCCGGTGCAAGGGGTAACTAACCATCACGTCTGCTGTAAACAGTAACTAACCAACACATCCGGTGCAAGGGGTAACTAACCATCACATCCCGTGTAAGCGGTAACTAACCATCACATCCCGTGTAAGCGGTAACTAACCATCACATCCTGTGTAAGCGGTAACTAACCGTCACATCCCGTGTAAGCGGTAACTAACCATCACATCCTGTGTAAGCGGTAACTAACCGTCACATCCCATGTAGGTGGTAACTAACCGTCACATCCTGTGTGAGCAGTGGGAAGATGCATCCGTGGACGGTTCAAACGGGAAAGAGGACTCGGACTCTGCGATTCTATTCCTAGCGTTTAGACTCTGGGCACTTTTCTCCTTCAGTTGTGTCAACACTGTATCACTGAACTCTTGTGATTTGTGAGGCAGTAAGTCCCCTCAAGTTTTATTTTTTTGTGTGAAAAGATCCCTTTCACACCCGATTTTGAAATGATTGAAAACTCTCAATGAAGAAAATAGTTAGAACCCCATAAAGTGTATTTAGTGAAGAATTCCTTTCAGACACCTAAACAAAAATTTCTTTTCTTTATTCTTTAGTAAGAATAACGCTTAAGTTTCTCAGAGTCTCAAGAATGAAAATGAGTTACATAATTTTGGGGGTTCTGCTAACTAGTCAACCTGTAAAAGGCCTCCAGCTCATTGTATTACAACTGTTGGAACTGCCATAGTGAAAATGTACTATAAAGTGGCAAAAATGGTCTCATCGTAAGTTTATTCACTAATGTCATACAACAATTGCACACATATATATTCGTCAACTGCAGAACAAATCTATTTCTAATTTTTTTTTCCCTATTAATACAGGAACTACCCAGACCACTGCACTGTTTCACGGTGAACCATTCTCCTACTTTTAATTTTTATTACCTCAGTGCCAGGGATCAGACCCAGGGCATCACACACGTAAGGCATATACTCTATCCACTTAGTCACTTCCCCAGATCCTGAACTTGTACAAGCAGGGAAACGGGAAGTGCTGGAAAAATGCACCGGATGTGTTTGGTCAGCTAGCTGGCCAAAATGATACAGAGATTTCCTGAGTCACAAGCAGTGCCACTGGTCAGCGGGAAGTTAGCGACCGGAGGAGCTCGTAAATGAAGATGAGAAAGTTGGCTAGAAGGATGACACTAATAACGATGAATGATGAAGAACATGGCTTGCATACTGACAGATTCAACAAGGCCCTTTGGGAAACCAATGGAGCGCTTGGTTATTTTTGTAAAAATCATCTTAAAATTTTTTTTTATTTTGGGCACCATGGTTTATAAACTGTTCTCTGGGGGTTCATACATAAACTATCCTAGCATCTCACTCTCCACTCAGGGGTCTGAGTCCCAGTGTCCCTCACTCACCCTCCCCAGACCCCTTGCCCCCGTGGTAAGCTTCCTATTGAAGACAAGTTCTCCAAAAAATCTTCTTTACAATTCTGTTGCATACGGAAATACTGCATGAAAGGTGTCTTATTTGCCATGTCTTGGTTCTGTCAAAATAGTTACAGTTCCAAGCTGACAAGAAAGCAATCCTTCGTTGATTCTAAGCACTGGCACATAATCGCAGCTATAACTAACTTTTGCTAAAGAAAAACTCAAATATTTTAGTTTATCAAGTGAGATGCAGTAAAAATTTTTGTGTGGTCCAGCATAAAATGAGGTTTCTCACTGTATGGGGGCTTACTTTCAGTTGCCTCTCCTGGTACTATTGTCAAAAAATGGCAACTGCTGGTAATCAACTCACTGTTGAAGTTAAACCCATTGCAAGATAGACGAGGACTGGTCTCAACATTAATTTGCTAAGTACAAATTTATACTTATAGAGTATTTATGATATATAGCATATGATATAATGTTATATAATAGATAATCCATGTAAGTAAAGGCCCTCCCGTTGTTCATCGATTTGCTCGAGCGGGCCCAGTAACGTCTCCATTGGAGACTTTGTTGTCACTGTGTTTGGCTTATCGAATACATCACGGGGAGCTTGCCAGGCTCTGCCGTGCGGGTGAGATACTCTCAGTAGCTTGCCGGGCTCTCCGAGAGGGGCGGAGGAATCGAACTCGGGTCAGCCATGTTGGCTGCGTGCAAGGCAAATGCCCTACCGCTGTGCTATCGCTCCAGCCCAGATAATCCATGATAAAATAAATATAAGTATAAAGTGAACTTATGCTTTATAAAATCCTCTTAATTTTATACTGTTATGCTGTGCTCTCACTGCAAAAATCCAAAGAAATACTGATAACCTAATTTCCCACTGGGCATCGATAGATATACTTAGGAAATTTCCGTTATTTTAATATAAATAGTTGCGATCATGCAAAAAACGTGGGAAAAGCAAGGACGAGTAGCATCTTAACTAACCATCATGGGCCAGGCTTGATACCTGCAGGGAAATGGCTGTGTGTGGCCTGTTGGGCAAGTCCCCCCTCACGGAACAGACTCAACCACTCGGGTCTTTAAAGGCGCATCTCAGAGACATGCACGGGTGGGTGCTCCCAGCCTTACCATCGACGGCATGGAGAGAAGTGAGCGACTCTTCGCTTTTCGCCGAGCGGAGGGTTCCTTCTGCTCTGCCTCCTGAGGAAGCAAAACCAGACAGAGTGAAAACGTGCCCACTGTTCTGGGGGCAGTGAGAGGCGGGTTCTCCCCTCCACTCAGGCTTCAGGCGTCTAACGCTGAATGCCACGACCATACTCAGATCAGCACCGTTCTCACAAATGGTTTCCTAAAATGAGAGTATCTTTTATCTAGCAATGGACTTGAAAAATTATGAAAACTTTCTTCTACTTTTTTTTTTTTGCGTCACACCCGGCGATGCACAGGAGTTCCTCCTGGTTCATGCACTCAGGAATTACTCCTGGCGGTGCTTGGGGGACCATATGGGATGCTGGGAATCGAACCTAGGTTGGCTGTGTGCAAGGCAAAATGCCCTACCTGCCGTGCTATTGCTCCAGCCCCATCTTCTACATTTTTTAACTGTTTAAGTGACAAAGGTCTTTCCTGCAGTCCGAAAGCAGGATACTCTTACTCGATATGATTTGGTAGTTTTTTTTTTTTTTGGTGGGGGAGGCAGGTGGAGGGGATTATTTGGGGCCACACACCACTGTACTTCCTGGCTCTGTGCTCAGAGGTTGTATGTGGTGCTGAGGGTTGAACCGGGTCAGCCTTGTGCAAGGAAAGCAGCCCGTTACCAATTCTGCACTATTTCTTTGGCCCAGCAGGTTCTTTTCTGTGCCTGGGACTCTATTTCCATTAATTTATACGTAAATTGGAAGGCTAGCGGGGTGTGGGTGATCCTATAAACCACAAAAAAAAAAAAAACCTGCTAATAACCAAAGAGGAATTTTTTCGCTCTCCTTTCTGAGAGGGAGGAAGTCTGAATTCAAGATGCTTCCCTCTCTGTAACTGGACTTGAGACCAGTCCTGAAAGCAATGGCCTCTAAGGAGAGAGGTCACAGAGTCTTCGCTTGCAGAGACAGAGAGGTAGAAAGCGGACATCCGGGGCTACAAGCCAAGGCGTGCCAGGCACCGCCAGAGGCTGAAGGAGTTAAAGAAACGGTCCCTGCTGGATCCGTTGGCAGGAATATGGCTCCGCTGATACCCGGATTTCAGATTTCTAGAGCCCCACAACTCTGAGGAAACACATTTCTGATGTCTGCAGCCATCCATCCCACTGGCGGCACTCTGTCTCGGCAGCCTTAGGCTGATGCCCTAGAGCTGTACTTTGTCTGCTGAACCTCATCTGACTGCTCAGTTCCTCCATCGTCTTGTTCATTTTTGCCGAGCTTGCTACCACAGCCCCGCTCTTCTAAACCCTCCCGCTGTCTCTGCGGTCAGCGTGCAGCGTGTGTGTGTTCTGCCCTGCTTTCTATTTCTTCTCGCGGAATTTTCTTCCCCTGCCCTCCAAATGCTGGCTTCTCCACGATCCGGCCCCTGACCTGTTACTTGTACTGAAAGAGCCATAACATGTGGCCGGAAAATGGATCTCCGGGGGTTTCACCCTGGGCCACTTCCCGATGGCTTCCCAATTTGCCTTTCGAGTTCTGTTCAAGGCCCTTCTGAATCTGAGATCCAGACCTCTAAATCTCTTCTCAGAGAGGCTCAATGAAGAATGTCTGAAACGAACATTTTTCTTCCCAGATATACTGCCCCCTAGAGGGATAACACATTTTCCAGTTTTCTCTGATCCTCGAAGCAAGACCTGAAGCTTGTCTGAGTCCACGTCCCTCTGCCTTTCCTCACTCCAGGAACCCGGCCGTTCCTGCCTGTCCAACTGTCTCCGACACCACTGTCCAGCCCCTGGTTTTCCTTCAGCCATTTAAGTCCTCTACTGCTGCCGATGAATTCAACAAACCATTTTATGTTTCTGACATTACCTAAAAACAGCAGCAACTTCCTAGTCCACATTTGGAAGCTATTAAGGTCAGCAGACCATGCATTTCGATCTACTTTTCACACGAGCTCTTTTTCTTTTCTTCCTCATTGGTAATAAGACTGATTTGATCCGGCATGACACATGAATAAGTCAGCTCGTATAAAAGACGGCTAGAGCACGGTTACAGGTCATAAACTTGAAAGACACGTGGAAACATGACTTTGTCATCGGATAAATCTTAAAAAAAAATAGAAACTAATAACTGTACGCAGGATAACAATCACCGAGAACAGGGAGACCGCTACAAATATCGCCACGCACTTTCCACATTCACCCAGGAGCCTATTCTGTTTCAGCATGATTCTGGATGCTTCAACAGGTTTACCTGAAACTTAGGGATCTGGGATAGAAAAATGGAAATGAAAAACAATTTCCCCGGTGCAATCCGGTGTGGCCAGGCCGGACTGAGGGAGTTAGGGAGCTGCCCTGAGTGGGCATCCGGGGAGAGGACAGAGCCTATCTGTGGGACCGGAAGTGTGACCCCGGGCAGCGCGCCCACCTTTCAGAGCCATGGCCTTCATCTCGGAGGGCTCGCTCTCGTTGCGCTGGAGCTTCCGCTTGGACACAGAGGACGATTTCCCCAGGTTGAAGAAGGACCGCCAGCTGCCCACCGGAGATTTCTTCATCTTGTTCTGAGGTCTCCTCCTAGGAGAGAGAGAACGTGGTGTGAGTTAAGACACCCTACGGGGCTGCTGGGATTTCTAGCAACTTCCAGGTAAACGTGGACGTGCAGGCTGGGAGAACACCCAGCTCTCGTCTGAACAGAACCTGGAAACAAGGTCCACCAAGTCCTCCTCCCATCTTTACTTTCTCCCTTTCTCTGTCTCTGTCCCTGTCTCTCTTGGGGGAGAGGGTCACACCCAGGGATACTCAGGGCGGACATCTGGCTCTGCACTCAGGAATCACTCCTGGCAGTCTCGGGGGACCAGACGGGATGCCAGGGATCAAACCCAGGTTGGCCATGTGCCAGGTCAGGGTCCTCCCTGCTGTACTATCACTCCAGTCCTCTGTCCTTACTTTCCGAAAAAGCTGACCTGACAGTTTCATTTTTTAATCTCCAGAGTGGACAGGAAATCTTTTTCATAGCAAGTTATAATGGCAGATGCTTATGATGCTTTCTGAGAACCACCAGGAGTCGGCCCCAGGATGAGTCCTCCCCAAAAGCCCCCAAAACCCCCAATAAATGGGCTTCCCTGAGGCTACTCCAGAATCAGCACAGTAATACTGAAGCACGAGAGTAAAATAAAAGCAGTCCCAGCAAGAAGAATCATATTTGAAGGTTTTAAGGAGATCCAGTGAATATTACCTTTCCAGTGGGAACTCGATGATGGTATGAAATTTCCCCTGAAGTGCGGCGGGACCCTCTCCCACTTCGATGTACTTGTTCTCCGTCACCATCGGAGAATTGACCTGCGCTTGTGTCCGTGCCTGGGCTTCCTCCAGTGTGAGCAGCTTGGTAGACGGAGAGGAAACCAGCAGAGACTTGGGTCTTGATAGAGCAGCTTTGGGGGAAAATAAAGAGAAGAGAAAAACAACCAAGAGAGTCACATGTTTTTGCAGGCAAAAAAAAAAAATTGCCTACCTCCCAGCTTTGTGCTGGTGGGGCGGCTTTCTTCATTACATTTTTTTTTTTTTTTGCTTTTTGGGTCACACCCGGCGATGCACAGGGGTTACTCCTGGCTCTGCACTCAGGAATTACTTCTGGCGGTGCTTGGGGGACCATATGGGATGCTGGGAATCGAACCCAGGTCGGCTGCGTGCAAGGCAAATGCCCCACCTGCTGTGCTATTGCTCCAGCCCCTCCAGCCCCTTCATTACATTCTTAAATGAGAAAAGTAACCATGCTTTCTGCTAAGGGTGGAAAAAAGACGAGATGGCAGGTATTATAGCGGTTATACTCAAATGTAAAAATCCCTCAATCGATTCCTTTACTTAAAAGACCCAGGCGGATCTGGCTATGATTCAGGGTTTCGTCCGGGAAGGAGATTTTTTTCCCTATGGTTTTTTTCACAGGACATCTTTCAAGACACTGGCACCTGGGAATGCAGTCTGGCTTAAAGTGTCACGAGCTTGGATCACAGCACACAGCAGAATATACAAATGACTGCCAGTCTGTATACTGTGGGTGACAGGGTGAGCCCAAGCCGCGTCTCCAGGGGCAGTTGTTCCGCTGTGACAGCGATGCAGAGCCCTGCGGTTCCTGGAGAGAACCGGCCCCAGGCTTTCTCTGTGAGCCCGCAGCCCCACACGGTACCTGCTCCCTCCTGGATGACAGCGCTGATCTTCCCACTGAAGAGCACGTCCACGTGATTGAGGATGAATTCGACCACCACAGACTGTATTCGGACTTCCATGAATGCTGCCGTCCCACTGAAGCAGGCGGATTCTATCTGCTTTGATCTATGGGGCAAGAAACGTCTCCCTCAGAGTCTTCCAAAGCTAATCTTAAAGGGCTTTTTAAGATTTCTTTAAATAAATAAAATCAAAAGTAATCCAGGGGAAGGAAGAAAGCATCCATATACTAGTTTGGGGACCACACCTGGCGGTGCTCAGGGCTTACTCCTGGCGGGATGGAGGACCCGATGGGGTGCTGGGGATAGAACCCAGCTTGGCCCGCTGTGCTATGGCTCCAGCCCAGCCTACTTTTACCATTTCTGGGCCATGCCCCCGTCAGCTGTTTCAGGGAGATGTCAATGCAAAAAAACACAGATGAGTTTTTGCTTTTCGAAACTCTCCTGAAGGCACATGGATGAATCAGGCTTCCGTCTAAGTTGACTGATACCACCTCAGGGGTTGGGTCAAATGCAAACTCACCTGAGCAGGTTTGGAGCCCAGACAATGGCGAGGTTTTTGGCATGCATATTTGTGATGGAGCAATAATCAGCTAGAAGAGACAAGTGTCTCATTAGGAACTCCAGTGTTCTGAAAAATGAAATACGACCTATTAACAATCAAAACGTCCGCGGAATAGTTAAAGAAAAAGCCAAAAAGTTTCATGAATTAATGTATTAAGTTTTCTATGACAAAATGAAGAAAGAAATCACACAAACCGTAGCCAGTTTTTTTTGTCTGTTAAATAGCATTATTAGCTATTATTACCGTCAGGAGAAAATGATAAACTCTAGATTCTATAGAATTTACTGACTCTATAGATATGTACTGAAGAGAAAACTGAAACAAAACAACTAAAATGGCACAAACACGGAGCACAACAGCAAGAGTTTCAGAGGGCGAGGATGGTGCGTGGATGGCTCAACCTCGAGGGAGACTGGAATGGGGCTTCAGGCAAGGGGGAAGACTAACAGGTATGCTGAGGGCCGGGGAACCAGAGCCAGGACTGAGTGGGGACAGAGGGCCCGCCGGGCGCTTTTATGGGGGAAGAAAACTTGGGATGTCTGATGAGACCCTGAAAGAACAAGGACTACTCTACTAGAGTCTGGGACATAAACACATGTAGAGAGAAGCTTCACAAGCCAAAATTGGACCATCGCCCCATGGGGAAAAAATAAAAAAGTCATCCCAGAAAGTAGATATGCCTTGAGTGGACTCCTTGGTGCAGCTGAAGAATACTAGTTGCGAGGCTGTTACAATGCAGAGGCTGAATGCTGACTTGACCAGATTATTATAAACAGGAGAGATGGTGTCATGGTGTTATGTGATGTCTGTCTGGGTTCTTTGGGTTGGCAGGGGCTGGTTGGGGTGGGGGTGGGGGGGACACTTACTAGACAGCTCACCTGCCATGAAAGGCAAAAAAATACTAGCTTACAAAAAATCAAAAAGGAAAACTAGAACCAAGCTATTGGAAAACAGAGGCTGTAACTCCAGAGTGAAGACTTAAGAACAATGATTTCTGGGAAAGAGAAATCAGAAATGGGAAGTGGAACAGGAGACAGCTGCTATTTGTCTGTCAGCTTTGCACATGATTTGACTTTTTGAAAAAAACTATGGGCTGCTAAGACAGCTTTATGAACCCCAAACAGAGCTGCTCCAGTCTGGGATGACCCATCAGTAAAGACAAATTCAGAAAACGTTCGTGTCCCGGTGCTTCCTGGTGTGGTCGGAAACAGAGTATAATCCAGCCAGCCAATCCCCAATGCCAAGACAACTCTTGACACGTGCCCAGATTGGGCTGCCTGGGTTGTGCCAGCCAATCAGATATTCTCTATTTCTCTCTTCCTTTCTCTGTAGTCTGTATCCCCTGACAGTGTCCTGTTTTCCAAGCCATTAGGCAGTTCTTAGGCAAGACGGCTTCATATCCACTAAAGGCATGTTGAATAAACATCTAATCTGTCTCCTCTAAGTTTTTTTTTTTATTTTTGTCTTGGAGGGCACACCTGGTGGTGCTCAGGAGATGCTCCCAGCTTTGTGCTCATGTGAGGCTAAGGACTAAATCCAGGTCTCCGGCAAGCTTTGCAAACACGTAGCCTGTTGGCTCTCTCTGGCCCCATCATTTTTCACAGTACATATAACTCCCTGTTCTTCTTTTGCAAGCATGATTTCTTGTGTTTGCTTCACAAATAAATGTTCCTACTCTTCAATGAGTTCTTAAGATCTCCGAATGCCTCACATTCCTCAAAGACAGGTTCTAGTAATAGAACAAGGTCAAAGCAAAGTTTTTTTTTCCTACTAAGCATTTATTCAGCTAATTTTTGAGGGGTATGGCAGAGCCTGGCAAGCTGCCCACGGCATATTCGATATGCCAGAAACAGTAACAATAACGGTCTCATCCCCCTGACCCTCGTTCCCCTCCAATACGGCAGCTGGGAAAGACGAGTAAGGAGAGGCTACTAAAATCTCAGAGCTGGGACAAATGAGACATTACTGGCACCCGCTCAAGTAAATCTAAGAACAATGGGATGACAGTGATGTGATGATGAATTTTTTTGGGGTGGAGATTGATTGTTTTTGTGTGTTTGAGGGCCACATCTGGTGATGCTCAGAGCTTACTCCTGGCTCTGAGCTCAGGGACCATTCCTGGCAGCCCCAGGGGACCATATGGGTACTAGGGATTGAACTTAGGTTGGGCCATATGCAAGGCAAGCACCCACCTGCTGTACTATCTTTTCAGCCTCACATATAATTTTTAAAATCATGTTAACCTAGCTGATTAAAAAATTTCAGCTGTAAAGCTGTACTCCTCAAGTTGATGCAATATTATCTCAATTTTTTTAAAAAAGTGAAAGGGTCATTCACCTTTCTGAGATGAGGTTAAAGAGATGAAAAATTTTGCTGATGGTGACGATGATTTTTCAGAAAGAAAGTGAACTATTTATAGGGTTGGCAAGACTGGCAAAGGTGTGTGATTTCACAGAAATCAGAGTCTAAGAGATTCCATCACTTCCTAAATGACTGGGATGCCTCATGCTTTTTTGGTAATTAAAATATCTACAGATAGAAAACATGCCTGGACTTGAAAAAAATTATTACTGATTTCATGTTAAGTTCAGTGCTGTTTTTTAAAACAGATACAAGCAGTGTAATTTTGAAAAACTTAAACAGTTCTAAATTGCCTCGTTGTGTATGGCGAAATATCCGCTGAATCTAATTTCTTGCCAGCTTCTTAACTAAGTTTTAATTTAAAATTTATGCTTTACTTTCTGTTCTTTTAATTTGTTTTTGGATCACAATAGAGGTGCTCAGGGGATAGTGTGTGCTAGACATTAAACCCGGGCAGCACAGCAAAGCCTGTGCTTGTGCTCCAAGCTATCTCCCTAGGTTGAATTTTAAGTTTTTTAATCTTAATTTTACGTGTACTATCATTCACAATTTAGGCAGCTCTCTCTCTCTCTCTCTCTCTCTCTCTCTCTCTCTCTCTCTCTCTCTCATGAAATGGTAGCTTCCATTTTATTCTCCCTTCACAGATATTAACAATAATATCTCGGAGAATCCCACCCACCACTTCTCAACCAGAGTCATATGGTACCCTATGGACCCCCAGTACATTCCACGGGGTCTGCTACCAGTGAAGTGCTCATGAATGTGGAGACACAGTACAAGACTGGGACAAAGGGGACCACAGGAAGGAATAAGGTGGAAGGAACAAGGGGGTCCCAGTTGGGAACGGTTGAGAAACATGGTCCCAAGAAAATAAACTGAGCTTAGAAAAAGTAGAATCAGGGGGTCAGAGACAGAGCTTGGATTATACGCTCTGCCTGCCTGAGACCCCAAATCTGCATGGCATGGCCACAAGGCACTATGGGGCATGCAAACCCAGCCACAGGGACTGAGCGGAATGATGCTGCCGGGCCAGGTTCCAGGACTGACCCATCGGACAAGGACACTGCTAGAGTGATCCCCACAAACTCAGTGAAAAATAATGCAAATAAACAATCAAAATGACAACAAAAGATTTTTTAAAAAGTCGAGTCAGGTATCTACTAGCCCATCTACTTGTTTATTCATTCACTCAGCAAGTGCCCAGTGAGGAGCAACGCCTAGGATGGGTTCTGGGGGTACAAAGCGAAGGAAATAAACAGGAACATTTACGTAAACGTATACAACAGGAGCTGAGCTACTCAGACCTCCAAGGACGGTTCCATAAAAATGCACAGGAAAACACTTCTCCTCAACAACTGCCTTCTCCCGGGGCTGGTCACTCCCAGCACACGGTTTACCTGTAGTGAGGTGGGGGCAGCTGCTGGATGACATCGTGGATTTTTATCAGCCTCTCTTCATCTGTCGCTGCAGAAACGGCATCCTGTAAAACCCGAACACAAAAGGAATAAGCGGGCTCGGCTGATGCGAGTGAAAGGTGTTCGCTCACGATTTCGTTTTCACTCTGAGCAGCACAACTCACGGCGCCCTTTGATGCAGAACAATACAGCATTGAGGGAGTGGACTCAGAGTCCACACAAGGTGGATGTTGAAATCTATTAACAAAAGGCCTTAAGGCGACCCCCTATTAAGGGCGATAAGATTAGTGGATCACAGTTGGAAACGAGAGAGGGAAATACCGGAAACAGCAAAATCTGTGCCCTCGACCAGCTAGCTCCAGCTGCTTGGGTCTTTGCTCTTCTATGAGGGGACCGATTTGCATCTGGTTTTGAACACGCACTGGCAGAGCACTGACTTGCAAGGGCCTGGTACTCACTGAGAACTTCTCATACAGCTGGTAGGTGAGCAGAGGATTGGGCAGCTCCCGGAAATACAGCTTGCAGAGGGAGCCCACTGAGTGGATGTCTTGCACGTAGGGCTCTTTCGTCAGGTCGGGAACGTGCTCAGAGTCAAATTCATGGCTGAAAACACCAGAGCAGAGAGACACAGTTCTTGAGCTGAGGGGAACGCAAACACCCGACTCAAACACCCACAGCCCCGGGAGCCCACGCTTCCTTCGGATGGCTGTATTCCATCCAGCTCCAGCAGCAAGATTTAATACTGCGATGGACAGCGATCTCTGACGTGCTTCCCAATGAGCAGTTCTTAGCACCAAGACCCAGAAACAGGATTCCTAGTCCCTCTTGGAATACTCCAAATTTCGGCAGTTCCAGAATCTAGGAAGCTGTGCGCTGACGGCTTGTGTACCTGGCTCCGAATTTCTACAGGAGATCTATTCAAGAATTTGGTTGAGGAATACCTACTACAGAGACATGAGGAAGTCAGATTTAATTCAAAGACTGGGAGCTAACACCGACTTTTAATAGACAAGTAAAACCTGAGGCATTAAACGGAGTGAATTTGTTCTCGGGATACTCAGGCCTACAGAGGTGCAGACTCTGGGAGGTCAATGAGCGTTAACGGCACCAGAGCACTTATCAATCTGGATAATTAGTGTTTACAGATAATCTGAGTAAGAGATTTTCTGCATCCGAAACTGTTTTTAGCACAGAATCAATTTCAGAATTTTCTAAACATGTGTTCCTGAAAATAGAGATGAGTTCTGTGGTCAATTAGAATATTAAAATCTTTTTGAGAACAATGGCAATTACCATGCATCTCAATGAAAAACAAAGGATAATTATATATTAAGAGGGGACTAGGATCTGAGAGATCAAGCAAAAATAAAACTTCTATTGCTGGTATAAAGAGCACTGCTATTTTTGCATCTGAGAAGATAATGGAGGGAATGTGGATTATGTAATACACATACTTCAACATATACTACAAAACTAGGGTCGACAAAGATGGGAAAAAGCCCTACTCCCACATAGTTTAAATAACAATTAAAGAACAACCCTATTACAATGTAGATTTTCATCTCATTTTCACCTTGGAGACGTTACTGGCGCCCGCTCGAGCAAATCGACGACTAACGGGAAGTTAAGTGATTTAAGTGATTCACCTTGCTAAAATCTTCAAATATTGTAAAGAGACAAAGGCCAGATAGTAAACGTGTTAAGGGGGAATGGTTTTCAGATATCAAAAATAAATATGCCGTGTTTAGGAAAGTACATACCTGGAACAACACGAACATTATTATTTTGGGTGGGGGGTGGAGGTTTGGGCTCATCCAGCGATGCTCAGGGCATACTCAGGGGTCACTCCTGGCAGTGCTTGGGGTTGAGGAGTGGGGCAGTGCCAAGGATCGAACCTGGGTCAAGTGTGTGCAAGGCAAGTGCCCTACCCACTGTACTACTGCTCTGCCCATGAAAATTATTCGTATTTTATCTAACCCATTTCCCTGAAGATTATGATGATCACTGTAAGTGGCTTAATTCTGAAATAATTTCACTTTAATTACAACAGAAGTGAAGAGGAATGTCACAAAGGTTTTACCGGAGTCTCTGGATATTGGAGGCGACCCCAGAAAGACGATATATCCCATCCACGATGCCATATCTCTCGATGAAAGCCGTGCAGCTTTGAAGCACCTGGGGTACTAGGGAGAATTTCCAAAGACAAAGATTAAGTGGAAAATCTTCTGAGGAAACAAAGTCACACAGACAGACAGACACACACACAGCCTAATTTTCACCAGCCAAATAAAAGTTGTAATTTGAAGTTAAAAGGGGGCAGAAATACATTTACTACAAGAGTGGTGAGGGCAGCTGAACATTTGGTCTACAGAACTGAGCTACGGGGGGTGGTGGGTGGGAGAGGTCCTTGGGCCACTGGGGGAAGGTAACAGGCTCTCTGGTGACATCATGGTGTTAGACTCCCAGATGCATGAAAAGTCTGATTAACAGTATAGTCAATTGGGTACCTCTATAAAAGTGGGAAAGATCAAGAAAGAAAGAAAGAAAGAAAGAAAGAAAGAAAGAAAGAAAGAAAGAAAGAGAGAGAGAGAGAGAGAGGAGGGAGGGAGGGAGAAGTGAAAACATGGTGAGGATGCATTTACTTAATTTTACATCTAAATTCACCTACATAGCTGAAATCCAAGAGACACTGCATGTCCTACATTCAGGGAAGTGAATGAATTTATACACGTGCGGGAGAGTCTGAGGTCTGCCGTGTGGACTCATTTAGACCATGTGAGAGGAACAGTTTAGTCCTAACACAGTAGCAGGTTTTTAAAGCAGTTCAACTGAATTTCAGGCACGGCAAATGGCTATACCAAGCTTAGTGTTTACCCAACCTAAGAATTGCCTTTGAGTTATGCCACTTTAAGAACGTTTTTAATCCTCTTTTTCTCAGCTAATGTTAATTGCACTGTATTCAATAAGTGTGCAAGATACCAACAAAATGAAAAGATCAAAGCAAATTTAAGGTGGGATCTTTTGAATTCCTGCCTACCTTTGCATTAAAATTGACTTAGGAGTATCAGTTTATTAAGAATCAGTAAATATAAGTTTACTGTAAGAAAAGGTAGCAGGTAGGGCATTTGCCTTGCACATGGCCGACCCGGGTTAGATTCCCAGCATCCTATATGGTCCCCTGAGCACTGCCAGGAGTGATTCCTGATTGCAGAGACAGGAGTAACCCCCGAGCACCACTGGGTATGACCCAAAAAGCAAAAAAAAAAAAAAAAAAAGAAAAGAAAAAGAAAAGGTAGTGAGGAAAGCAGGGCACGTGTTCTGTTAGCCTCAGTGCTGCTGCCTCAAAGGGTCAGCTACCCTGGGCCTCATCTCAAGTATATGATGGATATTTTCTATAACCATTAGATCTTCTACGGTTGAGCTTTATGAATTTACAGACTTGCGTAGTTATGCACATTTGATCACGTCAACTAAAATTCCGTAGAAGAAGGGGATACATACAAGAAAGGGAACACATTTGTGTGGCAGAGACAAAACGCACATAAAGATCTTCCGTGGTTTTCGAGGACTGTCTCTGATCTTAGAAACTATCTCTATGTCAAAATAATATGTAAAATATTATTTTAGGCAGAAAGAGCATGGGGTTAAGGTTAGAGCTTCTGTAACCCCTAGTTCAACCCCTGGCTCTACCAGGGATGAATCATGAGGACTGCTAGGTGTGAAAACCCCCAACCCAAAATATTATATATAATACACACACACAGACACTTATGTATATACACAAACATATATATACACATACGTGTGCATATGTATAAAGTCTCCTTATAAGCTGGAGTATTATTTCTGACAAGTGCAGTGCCTTTTATTTCTACTCTACAGATCAGGGGGTTGAATCTTAAAATTGGGGGCTGGAAAATATTTAATCACTACTTCCAAGGAAAATAAACTTCGAGATTGGAAAGCAGAATTTCATGAATGAATTCTGAATTTCAGAAATTCATAATGCTTTCTTTCTTTCTTTCTTTTTTTTTTTTTTTGCTTTTTGGGTCACACCTGGCGATGCACAGGGGTTACTCCTGGCTCTGCACTCAGGAATTAATCCCGGCGGTGTGCTATCACTCCAGCCCCTCATAATGCTTTTTTAATGCACATTCCAAATCGGCATGCTAGGTCACTCAGGTTAGCTTTGGAAGCAAGAACTTTCAAGCACGTGACGTTATTTCTGTGCTGCAGGCATAGCCCAAATGCGGTATTCGAAGGCCGCCATCAATATAAGCGATTGCCTATTAGAAAGAACAGACAACTTTCTTGTGACTAATATCCATGAGATGTTATATTTATATCAGTTGTGCTCTCCCAAGCAAGTAGGCAACTTTTTAAAATATTTTTTGGGGAAATTAGAGGTGTTTCCCTGATAATGTACCCAGGCCTCTATAAGCATACTTCGTGGCAAACGGAGTCATTTCTTTCTCCTTGTTTTTTCCTTTTTCTTTTGGTATCTGGACCACACCTGGTTGTGTTCAGGGTTTACTCCTGGCTTTGTGCTCAGGGATCACACCCAGATAATCTGTGTGCAAGGCAAGCGCCTTACCTACTGTGCAATCTCTGGCCCATAATGTGAGTTATTTATCTTGTGTGGTTTTTTTTTCTTTTTTGGGTCACACCTGGCGATGCACAAGGATTACTCCTGGCGGTGCTCAGGCGACCACATGGGATGCTGGGAATCGAACCCGGGTCGGCCACGTGCAAGGCAAACGCCCTATCCGCTTTGCTATCCCTCCAGTCCCACCTTGTGTTTCTTAAGACTGGTTGGTCCACAAAACAATCACATCAGTGTGGTTAAATTCATAACAAAATTAAAAGGAAAAGCCTAAACTTTCTGTTCGAACAAGAGAGTAGAGACTTTAAAAAAAGGCTTTTTAGCAGAATAAAGAGAGAAATGATCTGATTTCACTTTTCACTGACATCTAAGACAGTAATATGATAGCTGAATCTGTTAGTCAAAAAAATTCCAGTTGAAAAATGTCACATTATTTGACGACATTCCCCTCTCACCTACTGAACAAACCAGCCAAATGCACGTTAAATAACGACCCAATCAAAACATACCATTAGAAACCTCCTCGATAGTTCGTCAAAGTGGTATGACTTTAAGAATTATTCCTACATTCTGCAAGTGATATGTTCAGGTGCACCTTTAATTGATATTTTACCATGGCTAAAAGAAAACTATAAACTATGTGATGATGATTAAGAATTAGTATAGGAGTTTTTCTTGAAAGTGTCTGCTTCATTTCCGTTCTTGCCTACTCTTTCATTCACTGTCTCCATCCCTCCTTCCCTCCTTCTACCACTCACTCATCTATTTTGGGTCAGGCCCCTTCTGTGGGACAGGGGCCATGTGAGCCTCAGTGACTCAGTGGTTGAGCACTGGCTCTGCCAGGGTCAGGCCCTGGGTTTGATCCCCGGCATCAGGAATGAAAAAGGGCAAGTGAGAAATCAACATTGATCTATAGAACCGTGATTTTTTTTTAAATGTGCCTATATAGTACTTTCTTATGAATAAATCAGACTTATTTGTCTCATGTGGAGACTTCCTTAATTAGTGTCAAAATGTTTTCTGTTACCATAGTCCCTTTCTTCTTTTTGAGTCTCTCTTTCTTTTTGTTTCTTCGGTGTCTTTTTGTTCAGTCGCGCTTGGATTAGACATTAATCCAAGGGAGTGTTTTCCAGTCTGTCCGGCCTTACTCAAGAGCTTTCAAGCATCAGTTCAACTTGCAGCTGCACTTCAAATTCTTGGGGAGATCCCAGTATGTCATTTTTTTTCCCGGAAAAATCACTACCGTGGTTAATAACCATAATGTTCACATATGCCCGAGCTGTGATAAAAATCTGTTTAGTGGAAGAGTGAGTTTTCAGGTGCCATTAGTGTTTCTGCTACCCCTGGCAATGGTCAGGGCTTACTCCTGACTCTGCACTCAGGGGTCACTCCTGGCAGGTTTGGGGAACCAGACGGGGTGCCAGGGATTAATATCGGATCTGCAGCATGCAAGGCAAGTGCCCTACCCGCTGTGCTCTCACTCTGGCCTCTGAACAGTTTCTTAGTCTTCTTTTTAAATAGAAAAAAGCAAAACAACTAAGGGAGAGTCATAATAATACTATTTACTTGTAGTATTCTACAATAATTATAATCATTTTACATATCACTGAAGGAATTCCATATTCAAAAGACATATCTACTTACTGTTTACATGACATTTTTCAAATGTTAATGCTTCCTTCAAGTTTTAATAATTTTTTACCACTATAGAGCAATTTTTCAAAACTTGAGTGGTAAGCAATTTTCCTCTCACATAATTGTTTCTATTAAAACATAACATTGGCTACATCCAATAGTATTGCTACATGAAAGAAAAACTACAATATCCTGCTATGACATATCAGATGTTTTCAAAAAGCTCCAAATTTAGAGCTACCTGCAAAATCACTGCTAACTGGAATAGCACTTAGATATCGTAAGTTAGAAAAACAGCCTTGCTATTTTATTTATTTATATTTATTTTTGGTATACAAGTGCTCATGGCTTGTTCCTGGCTCAGTGCTCAGGGATCACTCCTAGTGGGTTCAGAGGAACCATATGAGATGCTGGGTTTTGAACCTGGGTTGGCTACATGCAAGGTGAATGCCCCACCTGCCGTACTATTGCCTCAGCCACCAGCCTTGTTGTTTTAATATTTATCAATGTAAAAGGTAGTTTAGGATCGTCTGATGTTTTGTTTTGGGTCAAACCGGCTATCCTTAGAGAGTGCTTACTCCTGGCTCTGTGCTCAGGGATCACTCCTGGAAGGCTCACGGGATCATATGGGTGTTGGGCTTGAATTGGATTAAGCCACAAACAAGGCAAACGCCTTACCTCACGCACTATCTCCTGGGCCCCAAGATAGTTTAAAGACACATTTTATAGCTAGAAATGATCATCTATTTTGTTGGCTATTTTGAAAATTTTATATCTTTTCCCCATCTCCAAGGGAATTAGACCGTCTCAGAAATCTAAATAAATTCTTATATACCATACCAACAGTATGTCTTCACCTCCAAAGTATCTTCCCAGTCTGTGGTATTTTAAGTTTATCTTCATTATATGGAAGTTACATTTTGGAAATCACTTCTTCCATATATTGTCTAATCCAGGAATATTAGTTTCTTTTTTCAAAAAAAAACTCAAAACAAAATTATTTACTATCAGTATCTTTATGGGTTTAAAACATTCCAATCTTTGGGGCCTGGGGTTTGTTCACCACACACAGTCGGCAGGCAGAGTACTTGCCCTGCAGGCCGAGACCTCAAATCGAAGGCCCAGCAGTGCCCCACAAGCAAAGTGCAAGCCCACAGCAGCACGATCTGTGCTCCCTGACCCCGTAACAGCATGACCCTTGGTGAGGAACCAAAACCAGATGTGCAAACACCACAACCAGAGTGCAAGGACGCTGCAAGTGTGCAACCGCTGGCAAACATGACAACCAAAACAGACGTGTTTGGGGCCGGAGGGACAGTGCAGTGGGGAAGACGCTTGCCTTGCACGCGGCCGACCGACTTCGACTGGCAGCACTCCGTCGGGGTCCCTTGAGCACCGCCAGGAGTGATCCCTGAGCAGAGCCAGGAAGGAGTCCTGAGAATTGCTGGATGTGGCCCCCAAACCAAATCAATACATTAAGAACGGGTGAATCAAACAGAAATAGTGCGTGAACGTTACAGCCAACATCTGTGATCCCCAGTCAGGGCAATCCCAACAATGACATCGAAGAGCAGAGGGAAAAGAAGACAATTTCCATTTATAAAAGTTACTGCTTTCATGGGCTGGAGCGATAGCACAGGGGGTAGGGCGTTTGCCTTGCACACAGCCGACCCGGGTTTAATTCCTCTGCCCCTCTTAGAGAGCCCGCAAGCTACCGAGAGTATCCCGGCCGCACGGCAGAGCCTGCCAAGCTCCCCGTGGTGTATTCAATATGCCAAACACAGTAACAACAAGTCTCACAATGGGGACGTTACTGGGTCCACTCGAGCAAACTGATGAACAATGGGAGGACAGTGACAGTGACAGTGACTGCTTTCTTAAGAATTTTGAGATTCTCAATGCTATAAATTAAGATATTTTCAAAACCATTATTTTACTACCTCAATATATATTTTGCAAGTAACCACTTCCTCCTCATAGCCCGGTTTCAAACCGCACTTTATCATCAAGGATTCTTCTAGAAAATAAAATACTTCTGAAATTTTTTTTCCTTTTTTTTTTTTTCTTGGTATTTGTGGCCACACCTGGTGATGCTCAGGGATTACTCCTGGCTCTGTGCTCAGGTGTTTCTCCTGGCTCTGCATTCAGGGGTCACTCCTTGTGGTGGAGCTCAGGAAACCGTATGGGGTGCCATGGATCAAACCCAGGTCAGCTGCGTTGCAAGCAAGCACCCTACCTTCCGCCCCATCTCTCTGGCTCCCTACTGAACATTCTGAACCGCATCCTTCATGGCTCATTCTCTGAGCCACGAATGAACGGAATTCTAGCTTTCGAATTCTAGCAATAGAATTCCAGCTTTCTTTTCAGGCAGGCACCCCAGGCCGTTCTCAGCGGTCCCTCTCAGAGACCGTCTGCCAACCAGCTGTGATTGTGCGATGGCAGGGTCTGGTGACACAAGTCTGCTCAGGCCACCAGCTTCACCCTGGTGGTTCGTGGGGGCCAGCAGCACTGTACAACCAAGACTACACCCTGCAGTGCTGCTGGTGGTTAAACACACATGTTCAAACATGTGCTGCTAGGGCTCAAACTCAGACCCAGCATGGACCCCTGGCTCCAAGCCATCTCCCTCGCCCCAGGACACTGGAGTTTTGAATTTCATCTCAACATCTGATATGATTAGGTGTCTCCTATCCTATCACGTTTCTATTTTCCCCACTTGCAGAAATAATCCCCAGGGTCCACTTGGTTTTTGAAAACCGAAGGGAAACGCCATCTTCCTAGATCGTAAAAATAATACAAACTAACACAGCAATGGTATATTTGCGCCACTGTCTGCACTCTTTTCTAAGCAGTCCGTGAGCACTTCTGATGCCAAAGAGTGTCCTCCTGACAACTCTCTCTCTCTCTTTTTGTCTTTGCTTTTTATTTTATTTGCTCGAGCGGGCCCAGTAACGTCTCCATTGGAGACTTTGTTGTTACTGTGTTTGGCATATCGAATACGTCACGAGAGTATCTTGCCCGCATGGCAGAGCCTGGCAAGCTCCCCGTGACGTATTCGATATGCCAAACACAGTAACAACGAAGTCTCCAGTGGAGACGTTACTGGGCCCGCTCGAGCAAATCGACGAACAACGGGAGGGCCTTTACCTTTACCTTTTATTTTATTAAAATAGATTATAAATATTGGGCAAACTGCAGTCAATGTATACGTGGATGGATTTCCAAAGACTGTTAGAATAACATTAGCACAACGGCAACAAAGCTGATACCTCTCTTTCTTTTCAGCTTTCTCCAAGCCAAAATGAACTCCTGAAAAAGTCCAAGCCGTGCACCGGAACAGACCGGAAACATAATGTTTGCCTAAACACCTTCCTAAACGTGCACAGAGGAAACAACACACAGAGAGACTGGAAATGGAAGTCAGGAGTTTCTACACCATGTTCCTACCTTCGAACCCAGAATTCAGGAGGTGCTCCCCCAGGTCACAGCCAAATACTCTCTCTTTCAAGATCCCCCGCTGCTTCAGCTTCTGTTTCGTTGGACGAGACTTCATGAAGGTGCGTAGGAAGGTGATGAGCTTGCCGTGCTTCTTAGACACTAGGAAAGAGGACGGAAAGGGAAGATCTTAACTGTGGCCAGCAACTGCACTTGGCTTCGTGGGGGAAGGAGTGGCTGGCGGGGCGGCCCCATTCTCAGCGGGAAGTTTTCGGCTGCGGTTTAGGAAAACACTTGCTTTATAAACAACAACATTAATTTTGCACTTTCTGCTCACCAGCATGTGATCTTACTTAATGAGACTGTGAACAAATTTAAGTATTGAAGTTTCTGGCCTTTAACTCAGCCTGGGAAGCCAGCTTCTGCCTTCCCGACACACACCTGTGGAACCAGGTCGGGGATGTGAGTTTTCACTCTAACACACTGCTTCGGAGACCTTCCCAGTAAGTAAGACTTAGAAGATGCACATGTGTTTCCAATTCTAGACAATTCCTAAGATGTTTTTTCTTGGTGGTTAGACATTTTTCATAAGTAAGTAAGTAAGTAAAGGCCCTCCCGTTGATCATCGATTTGCTCGAGCGGGCCCAGTAACGTCTCCATTGGAGACTTTGTTGTTACTGTGTCTGGCATATCGAATACGCCACGGGGAGCTTGCCAGGCTCTGCCGTGCGGGCGAGATATTCTCGGTAGCTTGCCAGGCTCTCTGAGAGGGGCGGAGGAATCGAACTCGGATCGGCCATGTTGGCCGCGTGCAAGGCAAACGCCCTACCGCTGTGCTATCGCTCCATTTTTCATAGCATTTGTTTTTGTTTTGGGGCCACCAATGGCAATGCTCTGGGGTCACTCCTGGCTCTGCACTCAGTAATTACTCCTGGAGGTGCTCTGGGTATCATATGGGGTGATGGGGATCGAACCCAGGTGCCCTACCTGTTGGACTATCGCTCTGCCCCTTTCATTGCATTTAAAATTCAGCAAAAAAAGAAACAACTCCTTGCTTCTCACTACATGAACAGGACAATCCATTATGCTACAAAACTCACTTGTCAAACTTTCTAATAGGAAGATTTAAAAAAAACATACGCATACTAAAAACATCCCAGATCTTTTACTAGTACCCCTAGGAGACTCAATTTAGTATTTGATTATGGTAGAATACTAAATATATCACCATAAACATCTGTAGAACCAGGAAAGAGAAACCAAATAGTCAGTGAAAGATTTCACTGACCGTCGGATTAGAAAGACACCAATAACAGAATCGAAAGCAAGCATGAGTTCTGAGCAAAAGGAGTTTGCGGAGCAGTGCGATCGACGGGGCAAAATCACTCCGAGGGAGAATGTGCAGTAAACATCATGAGCTCAGAGATTAGTCGCAGGCTGGGAGACTAAGTCCTGTGGCCTCAATCCCCCTTTTCAGTTCACAGCTGATTACTAGGGTCTGACTGGCTCTCGCTATAGGTGCTTGAGTGAATGTGAATTCCTAAAACGCTTGTAATACACGTAGGAATTATGGGTGTTAGAATAACATAAAGCCTAGCCCTCCCTCCTTCCCTCCCTCCTGCCCTCCCTCCCTCTTTCCCTGCCCTCCCTCCGTCATTCCTTCCCCACGTGTGGTGCCCGGGATTTCAGTGGGGGTCAGCTGCATTTCTGCGGGCAAGCACCCTTCCCCGTATCCTGTCTCTCTTTGTACTGTCCCCATTTCCCACAGTGGCCTCATCCTTGCCTGCGAACGACCGGCCCTAAATTTTGTCAGTAACAGAGAGGATCTTCTGGGACTTGAAAGTTTCAGTGCTAGAATCAGGGAAAGTCCTCAGAAAACTGGGACAAGAGGGTAAGAAGGCCGGGCAGCCTGTGCACAGATTACGTGGGAAATGGCAGTTTCCTTATAAATTGCTGAATATTTATTTGCACAGACTCGTTAATTGTACTGATCCCCTGACCCACTGGGGAGCTTTGGGTAAACTCCCTTTCTTACACCTTGTAACTGAAATCCCATTGCATAAACTTCAAGGACATGCTCTCGTATCAGTCACTGGTACATTTACAGCGCACGCGGGAAACTTCAAAGGCAAGCCAGAGAGGTTGTGATGTATTGAAGTAACCGCAATTCTAGGATTTGTATTCTTTCCTACTTGCTAGCAGACTGCATACGGATCTTTGTGAAAGTGCGGCCATTAAACTCTTTCTGCTCACTTTCAAACATTTCCATGTGACTTCAAAATAATTTCAACAAGATTTCTAAGAATTACGAATGAGTCTGGTCTGTATTATTCTGATACATAATCCCATATATATTTGGAATTTAAAATTTTTCTAATATTTCCACCAGGAAACATGACATACCCTGATTTTTCTAGACCTTTTACTTTTATATTGTTCAGTATAAGGCTTTCTAGTATCATCTAGTTTTTTTAAAATATAGTTTTATTTGGAATATATTCTACATCTACACTGCTAGATATTTTGTATTTGCTTCTGTTTTTTGAAATAGAGGTAGAAAATAATACTTCTGCTCAACTTATGGTCTTAGCTGGTTAGGACAGTGGGAAAATTATGTATAGCTCAAATTTGACTTTGTACAAGACTCTAATGGTTTTAGTTAAGCCTTGAGATTTCACAGAATTGTGATCATGGAGACTTTTTTTTATCCCTTTCCTAATAATAATTTCTCGCTTTCGCAACAGATTTTGATAACTGTCAGAGCTTCCAAGTTATAGGTTAGGGGTAGACATTTGCATTTTCAGGTTTGGGGGCCGCCCCTGGCAATGTTCAGTGGCCCAGAAGCTCCTCCTGGTGGTGCTGAGGGGACCAAGCATTTGCTGTGGACCCAAACCCAGGGCTGGCAAAGCACGGGCTACGATTATGGCGTTCAGATTTTGATGTCAATTTTTAGAAAAACCTATTGACTCTGACAACTGTATATGATTTCCATACAAAAGAATTTTAGGTTTTAGATTTCCAAAAATGTCTCAAAAGAGCAGAAACCAAATTCAAGGGCTTAGTCATTCAAGAACAGGTACAAAAGTTCCTAATCACGTACCGTATCCCAGGAACTGTTCTGTACTCTGCCATTACAGTGGGGAAAAAGGAAAAATGAGAAAAGTTCCTTGCTATCACTGAGCCCACCGGAAGGAGAAACACAATGAACAATTAACTAATTGTACTGCTGGTGTTAACCACAATGCGTGTGTTTCTTCGCCACTCGTTTCTTATAGAGGGAGAACCCTATTACTCTCGTCAGCTTTAAATGAAGAAACTCGAGCGCAAACTGTTTTCATTAAAGGCCAAGGTCGCTGAGCAGGACTCAAGATCAGAAGCCTCTCGCGTTCTTAGCTCTCAGCCTCCATGGGACACTGCCTAACCTCAGACAGCAAGGTGACTTCAGAGTCTCGTAACTGCTAGGGAGGACATGATGTGACAGTGACTTGGGAGGCAAGAACCCAGAGTCTAGGGCAGAGGGGGAAGGTCTGTACTGGAGATTCAGGATGGGAAGGCAGGTACGCAGTGCTGGGAAGAAAGAGGCATGCAGGGACTGCAGCCAGCAAGGCCAGGGCCTGGAGGTCCGAGCACAGAGAGTGACCTTGGTGCAATGAGAATACGATCAACAGTTTTCCTGACAAAGGTTACTACGGAACGTGCCCAGCAAAGGTGAACTAAGAGGAAACTGGCTGAATAAAGCGCTGATGTATGGGCATAAAGGAGAACTAATGTTTCACTCAGAACTTCTTTTAACTGAAGAAACACTGTCTTGAAACATTACATAGGTTTCAGGGATACAATATTATACACCCATCAGTACATCATGTTCCTGAAATTCTAGTGTCCTCCTTCGCCACACCAATTTCCTGCCTTCTTCCCACTTTTCTTACTAGTAATTTTTTGAATTGAACTACTAAATGGGTTAGTGGTAAAAATATTTGATGTGGGGGAAAAGAAAAGAATGTCATTAAAGAAATATATGAAAGAGAATAGGGTACTAAAGCATTTTGATTAGGTATTTACTAAGAAAAACAGTGATATGAAATAATCATTGCAAAATTCAATTTTTCATTTTTCTAGTTTCTTGAAAGAAGGGTCTTGCGTCAATTGATATGATTAATCACCAGAATATATTACATTAAAAAATAAAGAGGAAACATATTAATATATCTCGCCCGCACGGCAGAGCCTGGCAAGCCCCCCGTGACGTATTCGATATGCCAGACACAGTAACAACAAGTCTCATGATGGAGACGTTACTGGGCCCGCTTGAGCAAATCGATGAACAACAGGAGGACTGTGACTGTGTGACTGTGATACACATATAGCGATTATTTTATTATATACGCATGTAACTGTATTATATTGTAAAACATATCCATACACCATAGATGTTTGCATTATATTATACATTATAATTCATTATATATAAGCATGGATTATATATAATGCGTATATGTATTTAGCATAAGAAAGATGGGTAAAACACACATCACATATGCACGACTTCACACCAATACATATGCGTATATGTTAAAGGGCCAATTTTTTTTCAAAGAGAAACACCAGAAGGATAAGCTAGAAGGATGAGAAGGATGAGAAGGGAACAGAATTTGGACCCACAGATCTGTGTGGCTCAGTCAGGGGCTTCCCCTTCGCACAAGTTAGGAGAGTCGCTTCTGAGCAGCTGCAGCACAGAATATGGAGAGCTACGTCAGAATTCAACTGGGCTCCTGGGGCTCACTCGGGGCTGAGCCTGGCTCAGGGCAAGAGCACTGGAGGTTGGGGCAAGTGAACACTGGTTAAGGGTCACAGAATGCGTTGATTGGGGAAAGTGAAATGATAATTCTGGAGATAAAATGATCAAAAACCAAAAAAAAAAAAAAAAGACAGGGACTCACAGCTCTACCAGCAATGCTGGGTGTAGTCCCTAAGGCCCAGATCCTAATCATGCAACTATCTGGTCTGTTGGCAGAGTATTGCTGGATGTGGCCCCAGGGCCCCCAGCACTGCTTGGGAACTTCCTTCCCACATCCCCAAGAGGAAAATAAATAAGACAAAAAGAGTACTCAGGCAAAAGTAAGTCATGCCACCTTACACTCAAGTACTTTCTGCAGAGTGAC